CTTATTTTATTTTATTTTTTATATATTGCTTGCTTGATATATTTTTTTCGTTGTTAATTCTTCAACAGTTCGGCAATGTCAATGCTTACAATTAGGCAAAAAATTTTAATAACAAAATAACAGCTTACCTTTTCAATATAAGTAATGAGTTCATCATTGCTCAGCTCAACAGAGGATCTCAATTTAAAAGCTGCATATGCAAATGCTGTCATATCTATAAAATGAAAACTTCAATTAGATTCGGATTAGCATAGGTGAATAAAACTAAAAAGAAAATCTGAATGGTGTTTCTTGAAAAAAAAATGCATTAACAGGTAAAATAACTTTGCTTACTTTGTGGGACAACATCTGGAGATGATGTTGACTGGCTTGCTGGTTGAGTTGTAGATATAACTTGAGTTGTCATTTGAGAAGTAGGTGTTGGTGTTCGAGTAGATGTTAATGCAGTTGATATCAATGTTGATGCAGTTGATCTCGAAGTGGGTGCAGTTGTTGTTTTTGTAGTAGATGGTGCAGCTGATGTCGATGTTGCCGTTTGAGTAGTAGGTGTTGTTGCAGTTGACTGACTGGTAGATGTTGGTTGCGTATATGTAGACAATAGTACAGTTGGTGCAGTTGATGAAGTTCTTTGAGTGACAGTGGATGAAGATGCTGGTGAAGTTGTTGTTGATGATTGAATGGTAGATGTTGGCACAGTTGATCTCAAAGTTGGCGCAGCTGTTGTTGATTGAGTAGTAGATGTTGGTGCCGCTGATTTCAATGTTGCAGTTGTTGTTGACTTCGTTGTAGGTGTTGTTTCAGTTGATTGACTATCAGATGTTGTTTGCATATTCGTAGATAATAGCACAATTGATGCCGTTGATGTAGTACTTTGAGTCACAGATGTTGATGCAGTTGATGAAGATGCTGGTGTAGGTGTTTGAGCTGTAGATGTTGATGTAGATGTTGGTACATTTATTGTTGTTTGAGCTGTAGATGTTGGTGCAGTTGATGTAGTTGATGTAGTTGTTGGCATTGATGGAGTCAATGAAGATTGTTGATTGTAGATTGCAGTTGTTTGAGTTGTAGAGGTTGATACAAGTGATGTAGATGTTGGGATTGTCATTATTGACTGAGCTGTAGATGGTGCAGTTGATGTAGATGTTGGTACAGCTCTTGATTGAGCTGTGGATGTTAATGCAGTTGTTGTTTGAGTTGTAGATGTTATCACAGTTGGTGTTAAGGTTGTGGCAGTTGTTGCAGCTGTTGTTGTGTGAGTAGTAGATGTTGGTACAGCTATTGTAGATATTGGTGCAATCGATGTTGCAGTTATTGTTGATAGAGTTATAGGTGTTGTTGCAGCTGATGTAGATGTTGGCGCAATTAATGCTGATGTTGGTGCACTTGTTGATTGACTGATGGATGTTGGTTGTGTAGATGTAGAAAATATAACAGTTAATACAGATGACGTAGTTGTTTGAGTCGTAGATGTTGGTGCAGTTGATGTAAATATTGGTGCGATTAATGCTGATGTTGGTGCACTTGTTGATTGATGGGTAGATGTTAGTTCCTTTGATCTAGATAATACCACAGCTGATGCAATTGAAGTAGTTGTTTGAGTCGTAGATATTGATGCATTCGAATATATTGGTGGAGTTGTTGTCTGAGCTGTAGATGCTGATGTAGATATTGGTACAGTAATTGCTGTTTGAGCAGTAGATGCTGGTGTAGTTGATGAAAAAGTTAATACTGGTGATGTAGATGTTTGGGTTGTTGAAGTTGATGCAATTAATGAAGATGTTGGTGCAGTTGTTTGAGTTGTAGAAGTTGGTGTAAATGTTATTGATTGAATTGTAGATGGTGCAGTTGAAGTAGATGTTGGTACAGATGTCAGTTGAGCTGTGGATGTTGATGCAGTTGTTGTATAAGTTGTTGATGTAGTGGATGTAGATTTTGGTATTGCTGCCTGAGTTGTGGTTGTCAGTCTAGTTGATGTTGACGTTGGTGCACGGTTTGTTGTTGATTCAGATGTAGATGTTGAAGCAGACGTTGTTGACTGAGGTGTAGATGTTGGTGCAGGGGTTGATGTTGATTGAGCTGTAGATGTTGGTGCAGCGGTTGTTGATGATGTTGTTGTTGATTGAGCTGTAGGTGATGTTGTAGCTGATGTAGATATTGGTGCAGGGGTTGTGTTTGTTGATGGAGCTGAAGATGTTTCTGTAGTTGATGTAGATGTTTGTGCAGGAGTTGTCTGAGCTGTAGGTGTTCGTATAACTGATGTTGGTGCAGGGATTAATGTTGATTCAGATGTAGATGTTGGAGCAGGTGGTCTTGATTGAGATATAGGTGTTGGTCCAGGGGTTGTTGTTCTTGACGTCATTGTAGCTGATTGAGCTGTAGATGGTGCTGTAGCTGATGTAGATGTTGGAGCAGGGCTTGTTGTTGTTGTTGATGGAACTGTAGATGTTTCTGTAGTTAATGTAGATGTTAGTGCAGGGGTTGTTGTTGTTTCAGATGTAGATGTCGAAGCAGGTTTTGTTGATGGAACTGTAGACGTTGCTGTAGTTGATGTAGATGTTGGTTCAGTGGTTGTTGTTGATTCAGATGTATATGTTGTAGTGGATGTTGTCGAATGAATTGTAGAAGTTGGTGCAGCGATTGTTGGTGATGATGTTGATTGAGCTGTAGATGCTGTTGCAGCTGATGTAGATGTTAATTCAGGGGTTGTTGCTGATAAAGCTGTAGATGTTGGTGCAGGGATTGTTGTTGATTCAGATGTAGATGTTATTGATTGAGGTGTAGATGGCGGTATTGTTGATTCAGTGGCTGGTGAGTGAGATGTAATTGTTGTTGATTCAGATGTAGATGTTTCTGTAGTTGATGGAGATGTTGGTTCACTGGTTGTTGTTGATTCAGATGTAGTTGTCAGAGCAGGTGTTGTTGATTGAGCTGTGGATGGTGGTGCAGGGGTTGTTGTTGTTGATGGAACTGTAGATGTTTCTGTAGTTGATGTAGATGTTGGTTCAGTGGTTGTTGTTGATTCAGATGTAGTTGTCTGAGCAGGTGTTGTTGATTGAGGTGTAGACGGTGGTGTTGTTGATTCAGATGTTGATTCAGACGTTGGTGAGTGAGATGTAGATGTTGTTGTAGCCGATGTAGATGTTGGTGCAGGGGTTGTTGTTGTTGATGGAACTGTATATGTTTCTGTAGTTGATGTAGATGTTGGTTCAGTAGTTGTTGTTGATTCAGATGTAGATGTTTGAGCAGGTGTTGTTGATTGAGGTGTAGATGTTGGTGTTCTTGATTCAGATGTTGATTCAGTGATTGGTGAGTGAGATGTAGATGTTGTTGATTCAGGCATAGTTTTTTGAGCAGGTGTTGTTGATTGAGCTGTAGAAGTTGGTGTTGTTGATTCAGATGTTGATTCAGTGGTTGGTGAGTGAGATGTAGATGTTGTTGTTGCTGATGTAGATGTTGGTGCAGGGCTTGTTGTTGTTGATGGAACTGTAGATGTTTCTGTAGTTGATGTAGATGTTTGTGCAGGAGTTGTCTGAGCTGTAGGTGTTCGTATAACTGATGTTGGTGCAGGGATTAATGTTGATTCAGATGTAGATGTTGGAGCAGGTGGTCTTGATTGAGATATAGGTGTTGGTCCAGGGGTTGTTGTTCTTGACGTCATTGTAGCTGATTGAGCTGTAGATGGTGCTGTAGCTGATGTAGATGTTGGAGCAGGGCTTGTTGTTGTTGTTGATGGAACTGTAGATGTTTCTGTAGTTAATGTAGATGTTAGTGCAGGGGTTGTTGTTGTTTCAGATGTAGATGTCGAAGCAGGTTTTGTTGATGGAACTGTAGACGTTGCTGTAGTTGATGTAGATGTTGGTTCAGTGGTTGTTGTTGATTCAGATGTATATGTTGTAGTGGATGTTGTCGAATGAATTGTAGAAGTTGGTGCAGCGATTGTTGGTGATGATGTTGATTGAGCTGTAGATGCTGTTGCAGCTGATGTAGATGTTAATTCAGGGGTTGTTGCTGATAAAGCTGTAGATGTTGGTGCAGGGATTGTTGATGTAGATGATGTAGATGTTATTGATTGAGGTGTAGATGGCGGTATTGTTGATTCAGTGGCTGGTGAGTTTGTTGTTGATGTTGTTGATTCAGATGTAGATGTTTCTGTAGTTGATGGAGATGTTGGTTCACTGGTTGTTGTTGATTCAGATGTAGTTGTCAGAGCAGGTGTTGTTGATTGAGCTGTGGATGGTGGTGCAGGGGTTGTTGTTGTTGATGGAACTGTAGATGTTTCTGTAGTTGATGTAGATGTT